AAATGGAAACATGAGGCAGCCTTGCAGAGGCTTTGACTTCTTACTCATGTTGCAGATGGCAGAGGCAAAGCCTCTCTCAAGCTCCTGATGAGTTTTTGCTGGGGGGGGGGGGGGAAGGAAGAATTTGCTTCTGGGCATTTGCAGATATATTGGCATTCAAGCAAAAGAGGAAAGAGGGGGTAAGGGTGAGCTGTCATTCTGCTCATGCATTTCTCCCAGCAATGTCCCAGGCAGTGATATTCTCATTTAACTGCTCTGCAGTTCAGTTATCTCAACAAAATAAGAAAAATAAATTCTGGAAATTCAGGATATTAAAAACACACACCATTACAAAAAGCCTCAGCTCCTGCCTCTTCCCCCCTCTTTACCTTTTTACTTGCAAAACTGCATCCCTTCATCTCACAACCCTCTTTACATGATGCAGCAGACCTCAGTGCTGCTTCTCTAGAAGGGCTGTGTTGAACAATCAAAAAGCAGCTTGGTGGAATTTTTAATTGCTCAAATTTTCTTAAGAAGCCATGCAACAGAGAGTTTTACTTTTGATGGCAGAGTCCTCTTGCATTGTCTTCCATCAGATATGCTTTTTGCCCAGCTCTTGGTTGGTATATAAATTCTCTTCAATAACGTGCACACAGGATATAGGGGAAAATTAATTCTAATTAGACAAAAAAGGTGTGGAAGAGAAAAACAGTGGAGATTTGCTGACTTTCAGGAGTCACCCTATATACAAGCTGTGTTTTTCTGTTCTCGTCCAGGTCCAAGCACTGTTTGAAATGAAGTGGGTGTGAAACGCTATGGCTAAGCAAGTTTAAAACACCTAAGGTACCAAGACTACCTACGAGAAGGCCACATCTGAACATTTCTGATGAGCAGAGGTATAAAGAGGGACAGAGATGTGTCAGAAAGGGTTGATTTTTGAGCGGTGACCCAAGCCCTGGAAATGAATCTGTGTCAAGCTACTCTTAGAACTGGGCAGAAATAAAACTGTTTTGTGAACAAGACTTTTCCCCTGAAACCAGAAGTTTGCATATGAAATGCTGGGTTGTAAGGAATTTCAGAACTTTAAAAAGGCACGATAGAATGTCTAACCTGCCAAAATGGGCAAAGTGGGCATTTACAGAGAGCCTTTTTCTTCTACAGTTTAAGAAAAATGAATAAAAAGACAACAGGAAAAATAAATCAAGATCAAACACTGCAGGGGAGGCGGGTGAAGCATCTATCCCATGCTCAGTATTGCTCTGAGTGTCAGTGGGAAATTAAAGTGAATTGATTTGAGTTTGGCTGTGTATCAGCCATGCCAGCCAAGGTAAGCAGCTGAGCTCCCCAGCACGAGCCAGCAGTGGGGTTTTCATGCAGGACTTTCTTCTGAATCTCACTTTTCTCCAATTACTAAAACTCTTTGCATGGGATCTGCTTTTCCTTCTCTGTACCTCTCTGGGATATAAACGGAGTTTTATTCCAGATTAAATGCCAGCAGTGTTCATGTCAAGTTTTAGAAACAACCTCTGCCCTCTTTTCTCCTCCTGCCTTTCCTCCCCACCACATTAGCATCCTGTTTCTCACAGGCACATAAAGCTAGAGAATACAACTCAAATTTGTGACTCAGAACATAAGTATATCTCAAAGCACATCTGATACCACAAATAACTCAGAGTGTTTTCAGGGCTACGTGGGTGTTTGTCTCAACCCTTTGGTATGGATGGCTGTACAGCACCATGTCTTACCTACTTTTTTATTTTGTATCATATATCTTATGTTTAGTTTATATGTATGATATTAGTTTTATATACAGAGACATGAATCAGCCTCATCTGGTGAGTCCTAGTTACCCAATCTTGTAACTGGCAGAGGACAGAGGGAGCCCTGTTTATGTATGTTCGGCTCTGCACAGATGCAAGGGTCAGTAGTGAGATGCAGTTGCAGGTCTGGTGGTGTCAGAATACCAGCTTTCTGGAAACCCAAGGATAATGGTGATATGGAGTCTTAAATTCACATGACTGGTGGAAAAAATAACTCGGTGGAAACCTTTCCCTCACTAGAAGAGACTTCCAAATAATTAACCCATCTCCTACTCAGGCAAAAATCCTATTGTAAAGGGTTGGGTTTGGGCCTGGATAAAAAGTGGCAAGAACCATACTGAGAAAAATTATGGTTAGCATACAGTAGCATGTCTACAGTAGTATGTCTACATAGGTATGCCAGTGCAAATCTTATACTTACTTTTGACTTAATTAGTACTATGTGTTAATAGATAAATTGTATCTCTATACTACACAAAAAAATAATAAAAAAAAATCCTCCTATCAGGATCACAAAGCCCACATATTTGTCCAAAAGATAAAGACAATATTTTGCAGAAATTCAGCTCTTTGAAATGCAACATTTACAGGATGCTGTACTGTTTTCGTTGGACTAATAGCACAGAGCTAAACAAGTAACACAGATTTTGGTTGAGATTCCCATGGCTTCTCCTGATCATTCCTTTAGACTTGGGGTGAAGTGTTCCTCAAAGAAAACTGAACAGGAATTTAGAAGCTCAATTCTGTGTCCTTGTGAAAGACTCATTTTTCCCTATCAGGTATTTCAAGACTTGTATTCCAGCATGTCTACAGAACATATGCATACAAAATTTCTACATCAAGCCATTCTCTCTGAGCTAAAACATATCTTTCTGAAAGATACCCGAGTCTTGATTTATGACCTTCAGGTGACAGAAGATTCATCAGGTACCCAAGTATTTTGTCCTCCTACTTGATTATCTTCACTCAAAACCATACATGTAGTTTGATGGTGTGCAGTATCCAGACTGCTCCCGGCATCTCACTAGTCCTTAATCCACTGAATTAAGGAGGCCCCTTCTGTCACATATGATGTATCTGTCCCCAAAGCAGATACTGAAAGGCCATGGCTGAGTTGCTCTTTAACACCTTTTAGAATAGATTCAGACCGAGCCTTCCTAGATTCTTGCCACAAAGCCTGGTTTCAGAAGCTGATGTAATTCTTGTTACTGCTCTTCTAAAAAGGATTTTGCTGATGCTATACATGAAAATAATACAACCTTTCTTCTTTTGCTTGATGTTTCCCCCCTTATATCTACAAGGATTGTATTTGCTGCTTTATTTACAGCATCACGCGGAGTTTGTATTCAGTGAGCTACGTACAATCACTCTTCAGTCCTTGACACAGTCACTGTTTGGCAGAAGACATTTGCCTGCTGTTTATGTTTGACAAGCATTCTTCCTTGCTGGACCATATGACTTTGCATTTGACTTCACTGAACAAGTCCTTTTTATTAAACAACCTGAATCAGGCAGCACAACTGACTCATTACCATCATTAATTGCTATTCTACACGCTTTGGGGTCATTGGCAGGGATTACGTATTTTCTTCCAGGTTATTGACAAAGATACTGAACAGTGCTGAGAAAAATAAAAAAATCTCATTGTGAGTCTCCTAAAAACGCCCACTGCCTATCAATATCTCACTGATCCTTATCTTTTAAAATATACCTTGATACTGGTTTTTAGTCCACTGAATATGGGCCACATTGATATTTTAGTATTACTTTTCTTAATTAAAATGTTATCTAGGACTAAACAATGTGAATTATAGAAACTATGTTTTATCAATAGTGTCTTCTATCAGCCAAGTCCCTGTAACTTCATTTAATTATTATTTTTATTTTTAAATAGTTCCTCTTGTTCCTTATTTGCAGCTCTTTAGCTTCTCGGAAAAGATTTTTTTGATGTTTCTGGTATACTTGTGCTCAGGACTACATTTTCCTGGCACTTATGAAGTGGAATAACAATGTGATCATTCATTTGCATTCAAAAAAACATAATTTTTCTAGCCTGCTGCCCAACTCATGTTCTACAAAAACAATGTCTGACACAGAAATACCCGAAGCTGATTTCAATTATTTTTATGCTTTGAAATTTATGTACAGCTCTTAGAAACCCCAGGGATGCTTCTCCAGCTGTAGCACAAGACCTTCAGCATCAGCTCCCCAGCCTCAAGTCTCTTATCAGACGTCAAGGGTGGTTCCGCTCTCTGCACTCCAAGAAGGGATATTAGAGTAGCTGATCTTTCTACTCCCATTTTTTTCGGTAGTCTGCAGTGGACACTTCACCCTCACAGAACTCCTTCCCATGTGAGGTAAGTCACTGTTTGCATAGGCATCTCCAGGCATTTCATGATGTACCTGAACTGTCAGTATTTATGGCATGTCGGACTGCCTTTAACGAAGACTGCCCTCCCTCCCTCTCCCTCTCCATCCTTCCCTCATTCCCTTCCTCCCTCCCTCCCTCCTTCTTGTCTTTCCTGAACAGGCTGTAGCAGTGATTATAGCATCCCCATCATTTGGATCATCTCACAGATGCCCAGCAATATCAATCATCTCACAAGAGCATTTCAGATTCCTTAAACCTATTATCAATCTAAAGGGTGGGCATTCCATTATTTCAATTAACTGCCTATATTTTTGTACACTTCTGCCATACCTATCTTTAGCTGCTTGGCCCAGTCCCTCCCTTCCTCACCGGTCACAGAGGATATAAAAGTGCTGCAGCGAGCGCAGTCTAGTAGACCAAATGGGCAAGTGGCAGGTTACAAATACAACCAGGACCCCTGCCAAGACCGACCCCCGGGGGTTGTGGGGGCGGGAGCGTGACAAGGTGAGTGCAGGCGGGGAGATCCCGCTATGTTAAGGGAAGAATAACCAGAGGCTGGGAGCCAGCCCTTCTGCTGATGGCTTATCGGTGCCGTCGCAGCCGAGGCCCGGGCCGGCCTCCGCCAGCGACGCCTTCAGCACCACCTCCCGCGGACAGCGCCCGGCTGGGGCTGCCCCGCGGTTTGCCCCCCCCCCCCCTCCCCTCCACGCGTGGACCCCCGGGAACGGGGCTGCACCATCCAACATGCACCCCAAACACTGACCCCACCCGCGGCGCAGCCCCGACCCTCCTCCTCGCCGCACCGCTGCCGGGGTCCCGGCGGGACTAACCGAACATCTGGATGTGGCCCTTGGTGATGGGGTTGAAGCTGCCGCAGGCCAGCAGGATAACGTGGGTCTTGGTGGTTTCCGTCATGGTGCCGGCGCGGCCCTGCCCGGCCCTGCCCGGCCCTGCCCAGCCGCTTTTTGTGTCTCGGTGCGGCTGCGGCGGCGGCGGGAGGGAGGGAGAGAAGGGAGGAGGGAGAGAGGGAGGGAAGCAGGGAGCAGGGCGGCGCCGCGTCTGCGGGAGCAGGAGCGGGGCCGCCCCCCTCCAGGCACAGCCCTGGGCACGCACGAATCGACGGCACGGGCAGGTGGCAGGGCACCTTGTACAAGCAGCGGGCGAGCACAAGCAGATATGGGACACACACACACACAAACGCAGGCTGGCGGTGCAGCCCCCCCAGGGGCTGAGAGCTGCGGCCACACAGCTGGGGATGTACACGCCTGTACGTATGTATACACATGGGCACACGAACACACACCCACATGCACAGGGGCACAAATATGTGCATGCACGGTTGCAGAGACATGTGCCCACTCACACACATATGCATACATATGCACCTACATATGGGCACACATCCACAACCCTTGTGTATGGGTACACCCACACAAATACATCTCTCTCCTCCAGAGAGTGCTGGGGAGATGTGGCCTGCCCACACCCCTCTATGCTGTACACATACAGAGGAGCTGTGCCCCCTCCCCAAGCAGTGGTGACACACTGGTATCCCCAGTGCTAAAGAGCAGTGTGTAAACACACACACACCTGCACACACAAGCGCACAGTGTTCAAGAGTAGCTACGCTTTGTGTATTCCTCAGTCCTGTGCAGATGACCCTGGAGACCCCAGTGCCTGCAGTCCCAGACCAGAACTCACAAAGGCCTTTCAGCTCCCCCACCCCCAGCGCAGGGGCACCATGAAGAAACTGGCTCAGGGGGCCTGAGCTTCCCTTGATACATTGATTTTACTGTCTGAAGGAAGTGAACATCAAATAGGTGCTGTGGATGCACCAAACTCCAGTCTTTATGGTCAGGTAAACCTGTACCAAACTCTGGTGGACTAATTGTCTACATTTCTTATTTGCATGATTGCAAAATTGCTGTTCTCCACTGAAGAATCTCTTCTGAGAAAGGGCCTGCAGAGCCCTCTCTGCTCATAGCCGTGTCAAGCAGAGCTGCGGGCAGCTGCCCTCACCCACCTCACAAAGGTGTCTCTGGCCTATTGCTTATAAACCTGCCAACAATGGGTTTCCCTTTCTCTTCCTTCACCTGTCCTCCTCCCTCTGTCCTTATGAGGTACCAGCCACAGGGCTTCTCAGCCACCATTATCTCCCCTCCACCTTCCTGGGCTGGTGGTTTTCAGCCCTGCCTGCAGCAGTGGGGTATGTTTCTTACTGTCCTGCTAAGACAAATTACTTCCAGTACTTTGCTTGCAAACGTTTGCCCTGCCAGCTCAGCTGAGTCCTAGAATGATCATTGGTCCTATTGCTGAGTGATATGAAGAGCAAGATCCCTGGGGAACAAACCCAATAGGATATTGAGTCTGTTTGCTCAGGGAACCCTTAAATCCTTGTTGCAGAGACCCTACCTGCAGTCATAATCTGGGGAGCACGTGCTGATGGCTACTGGTGGTCTCTCTTACCACATAGGGGCATGTAGCACCATGGGGTTATATTTTTATGCTGATTTTTAATTCACACTAAGCTGTCATTGAGGGAGAGGCGTGCTGAGACAGCTTGCTGCCACAAACACAAAATAATTTACGTTCTCAGAGGTTCACTCTAGGTGTTAGTCCCAAAGCCAAACAAACCCCATGACAACAGGCTGGTAGGTGACACAGACATGGCATATTTGCGGCAGGGCTGGCTTAGTTGGAGAATGAGGTAGAACAGCAGCCCAGCCACTGCCCTGCTGGGATGGTATAGGTGCTGCCTCCATAGCTAGCTTCCTTGACCCCTGCCAAAAACCTTCCCAGTGGCAGTGTGACCCAGGTGCAAGTCTGGATGGGGTCAGCTGTGCATTAGATGCATGCAGCAATCTCCAACCCATGAGAAGAGTCCTAATGGGGTCCCAAAAACATTGGGTCACCTTTGCTTGCTCAGCTGTGAGAATGGCCAGAGAAAGCAGATCCATCTCTTTCCATCAGCTGTTGTAGGACAATAAATAAACTAAGAAACAACATCAAGTCAGTAGTTACAGTGCTCTACTTTCCCACTAGCTCTCTATGGATATTTGATGATCCAACGGGATGATATTTTGGGGGTTGTGTTGAGCAGTTTTTGTGCTGCCCCCATGCTTACCCTGAAAGGGAGAGACTTGCTGCTTTAAGAAAGGTTGTGGCTCTCTGTAGTTTATCAGCAGTGCTGTGCTCAGCATAAAGCTGCCTTTAAAAACACAGCTTTGATTAGCATTTATAAACCTTAGGGTAATAGCAGAAAAAGGGAACATTCTTCAAGCCTGCCTTGGTCTCATACATGCTGGTCTACTGCGTGCATGTGCTCATGTCTCTGTCTGCTTTCACAAAACTTGTTCTCCAATTTTGTTAAAAAATAGGCAATAAGTTCAAAAACTGGAGTCTAACACACTGAGGGATAGAAATCTTTTCATTTGGAAAACTTGGGAGACCTGATGTTTCTGGGTAAGCTGTTTTCCCACACTGGCAAGGCAGGGATAACTGTGTTTGTTTGCCATTGCGGAGCCTCCAGTGTCTCTACCAGAGGTAACAATTGTGTGAAGTGATGGAACAAGCTAGAAGCCACCACAGCTCTTGCACAAGAGCCAACCTCAGGCTCATCTTAGTTCAGACATCTCCCCTGGTGATGGGCCCAGACCTCCTTGGCTCACCCTGGTTTATGTCACCACAGGTTTCAGATGGGAATGGCATTGTAACGCCACTGGTTTGACTCCAGCCCAGAGCTTCAAGAGGTCTTGACAATACACAACATGGCACTTCTCTCCTGTACATTCCCAACTATGATGGTGTCCTACCCCTTTCCCTTGGGGTGGTACAACTTGCACCAGTATGAAACATGGGGTTTTGACCTGTACAAGAAGACTACTTTCATACAGAAGAAACTGAAGCTCAGGTGAGAAACTTATTTTTTTTTATTTTTTGGTAAATCCTAGCTCCATTTCCCACTAATTTTGCATTTTGCATAAGAAATTTTGCAGGAGGCATGTTTTCCCTTCAGCCTTTCACAGATTGCACCACCTGCAGTTGCAGGAGCACCAGGTGCTGCTGCTACAGAAGGAGGCACAAATGGAGAAGACCACATGTGGCCGAGCTCTCCTGCTGCTTGCTGATCCCCACTGCAACCAACCAGGCGTGCCAGTTCCTGGTGTGCCCCGCCAAATCTCTCTGCCTGCTTCATTTCATGTTGGGGTTTGACTGTAAGCACCACATAGTGAAAGATTAATGTGGCCTGTCCAGATGTGGGTTATGCACTGCCTGGACATGGTGGGGATGAGGTCTGGCCAGTGATGCCTGTACCTTTTCCTCTGCTTTCCTGCTGTGTGCTGCGGTGGATAAATGATGTGGTAAATCAGCTGTCACTTAGCAACGCTGCCGGTTTGGGAGCCAGTGGTAGGTTTTGGCGTGGGAATGATGCCTGCAAGGCTGTGTGGTGGGTCAGCCAGCCCAAGGTACAGCACACAGAGATTTACACCCAGAGCAAAGCGCCTTGTAGAGACCGGGCTTCAGAAGGAGCTGAGTGCAGGGGGAGAGGCTACTCACCTCCAACACACTTATGTGTGCCAGAGGAGGTTATTTCACCTTTTTTTTGCCCCAGTGTTTTTCAAGGCAGCCTTTATTTTATGTTCCTTGCTGCTTTCCCTAAAAATGTGAGTGCAAGTTTCCCACTGTTGAAAGACAGGACCCATAGTCACAGGAGCCAGATGTTCCCTTGCAGCCCTTGCTGTGCATCGCCAGAGGGCCCCGAGTCCCCCGGCTGATTCAGGCTCCAACCCAGGTGACAGCAGGCAGCCATCTGCCATCTGCGGAGCTGGTACAGAAGGATAGACAGAGAGCAGAGGGTTGATTAGCTTGGTTTTATTCTCTGAGGAAGAAAGTAGCATGGAGAAATGCAGTGACTTGACTACCCTGACACAGAGAGCTTGCAGCAGCACTGCAAAGTCACTGCGGGACTTGAGAAGCACAGCCAGACCTGTTAAGCACACCTGAAACATTGCCTGTGGTTCACACCAAGGGTATTTTCTGCACGTGGATCTGTCCAGCTCTTCACGTTTCAGATGGATGGGCCTCACATGCAGTGGCGCTGTGCAGCAGAAGGCAGGAAGATCATGCCTGTGTTCATTGGGGTGAGGCACGGGGGGGGACCATGGTCCTCCCAGTACTGTCTTTCACCTTTTCTCTCCCCTTGGGCTCAGGAAGAGGAAGGGAAACCTTTCAGCTTAAAGCTTTTAAACTGACAGTTTGTAAACCCTTTCAATAAACCCACATCTACTGGAAAAACGGGCAATTCCTGCTGGGGAGTGGAGGGGCAGCCAGAGAAGGCTGCTCTGCAAGGGCAGAAGAGCAGGAACCTGAGCTTAAAAGCATCTCTCAAGCAGAGGATGGAAGTCCTGAGAGTATTCCTCATGTCTCTCCTGACTCCTTTCCCCATGGGCTGATCTCAGGTGGAATAAACCCCCTGGTTCCCACAAAAGCAGGTTTTTAATTTACACCCATTTTTGACATATAATCTGAATGTAACTAAACAAAGCCCATGCCTGAAAACCCAGCCTCTGCGAGGGCAAGGATTTGCAATTGTAAGGAAGCCAAACTGGACTGGCAGATTGAGCCAGGCTGGACCAGCCAAGCTGAACCAGTTGAACATGGAGCAACCACACAGGACAGTAAATGGAAGCACATGGGCACGGCTCAGGGCTAGCTGCTGTGGCATGAGCCTGGTAGAGCTGGAGGGAGCTATAAAACCTGTAGCAACCAGGTCTGAGGCCACATGGGATGGGACAGCCTGGCCCAAAGGGAGAAACCTTTCATTTCTGATAAAAAGCAAACATTCAAACAAGGCTGAAGAGCAGGCAGTGAAAGAGATGACTTACAACCAAGGTCTGAAAATTCATGACTAGTCCAGGGAGCATAGCCAGGGACCAACCAGTGACTGCTTCTTCCAGCTCAAGAGCTTTTCTCAGGGCATGGTTCATCAGGTCCTGGAACAAGCTGCCGAAGTATGGTGTG